ATACACTAATTATTACTTAACTGTTCAGTTAAAATACATGACGAAGTGGGTATAGATCGTCAAAAGATAGTGATCTAATTAATTATTTAGAAATATTGTCACAACATTTTTGAATAAATCAGTTAAAAATATTTATTTTTTTCATTTTTCGTACAATTACATAGACTACTAGGAAATTGGTTATTACTTTACATTTTATTTACATCAACAACTGAAATAATATAAGCAAAAAAAAGTAATTTTAAGATATTGTACCCCTAATATTGCAGCTAAATAATGTAATTTATAGTTGTAGCAAAATAGATTACACTTGCACGCATAATAAGCATTTTGTTGATTGGTTAATTGTATTTTACGCAAAATAAATTCATTATTGACTTGCATGCATTTACATAAGTGTTTTGTGAATAATTTGATTTAACATTCTAACTATACATTTATATTATACACTAGGTATTTGTATAATCAAAATAATCCTTAAAATTCAATAGTTTGCTATTATTGATGACGTACAACAGTAGATTGTTATATTGACGTAGAGCTGAAACAATATTCAAATACAAGGGAAATAAATTTTTTTAAAAATAAAAAAAAAAATTACAATTTTAAAAATAAATTATTTTCCAATGTATAATATAAGTGATTTATATGAGTTTATGTAATTTAAATAATTCTTCATCATTAAATTTTTGAGATCAAAAATGCCAAAAATGCAATGAATATAAAAATATAAATACCAATAAAATAAAATAATATTTAATTTCAATTTAATTTTTTTACAATTGTTTACTATATAATCTAATGTTTTGAAATATCGTTGAAAAAAACAAAAAAAATATCATATTAAATTGAAATTAATGGATAGTATTATTTTGGTGGATTTATATAATAGAAATTGAAGATTGAGTTGAGTTTGAGGATATACCATTTTTGTATTCAAACAAGTTGTGAACAAAAAAAAAAAACATGTTAGATTAGGAGTTATCCTCTTTAAGGAATATATTTTAAACCCAAAGTAATAATACTATACCATGTGATATGAAAATTGACTATGTTTTAAACAAAAAATAATTATGTGTAATATTTTTTTTTTTTTGAGTTTACGAATTATACCAATATTAATAATTTGACAATTTTTATAAGTAATAAGAATGCACTATTACAATAATAATTTTAAAGACAACTAAAAAAAAAAAAAAAAAATACAGTGTATAATATCATAATAAAAAGTGATGGTTGAAATGTGTATGGGATTGGGATCCATTTATTTTTAATTAAATTTAGAGAGTTTATTTGAATAGTTATGGAAAGCGATTGGATTTATTTAAAACTGACGCAAGTAAAATAAAACAATAGATTGTCAATCTTAAGTCTTCCAAGAATGATCGACTCATGTTCTGGAAATATCAACCAAATATGGTCTCTTATACCCGGGATAAACGAAGCTAGTTTTTTAAGCTAGGACAACAAGCTAGGCATTCCTAGAATTTATAGGTTTTCTAGTCTACTAACGTTAGCTTTATATGTTAGGATGGAACATTTGCCCCGTATATCCTGACAATTTCAACTTTGGTATTAAGAGAATTTGGTATAAGACTATTAGGCTACAAAAAAGAAGTGATTTTTTTTCGTATCCCAATTGTTGCCAGCAGATATTCGTACATAAACGTGAGCTCATCTTGCGGGGTAATTTAAGGTAATTTGGCAGAATATATGATAGAATGATTTTTAACACATTCAAGATAACTTGGGTGACGCAAACAATAATTATTCGTAAAATAAAGACTTTCAAAGTATTTTATACTAAATAATAACTACACATAAAATAGCAATTACATGCATTGTTTTCATGTTTGGAGATTCAATAAACACGATTAAAAGTGCTATTAGAATACATCTATAATCGTCACTTTCGATTTTTAAATCTTATCATATTTCAAATAAAAAATATCAAAGAATTTTATCATGCTTAAAACATGGTATTTGGGACACTTTAATATCTTTGGAATAAAGTTGAATAAACCATGTATGCAAATATCAAGTCATAAAGCCTCGAATTATTCATTTTATTATCAAATGAGCTATGGTAATTATTACTGAAAACAATTTATTGCCATCATTTAAATTCAAAAATCTTACATAATTCAAATGTTTACTTCTCATTTTTGTACCATAATAATGATAACGTCATATACACAATCTTATTTGGTTGTAAAATTGTAAATTATAAGTCAAAAATAAAAATATCGAATTATTTAAAAATTCTATGAACAAAATTCATTTGTTCAGTCACAATATTATTTGAATAATAATTTACAGTAATTGAAAAAACCAAAATTAAATTTTTTCCAATAATATGAAGTGTTGATTTATATGGTATTTTAGAATCTTTGCTTTGTGGATAAAAAATATTTTTTGAAATATTGATATATAACTTAATTATTATAATGGTATATAGTATATACAATTATTCAAATACAAATATGTGAATTAATAATGTATGTATAAACATGTAATATTTTATTGTTTTTGATAAAACCGAAACATTCTATGCTAACAGAACTTTTTTTTGTTTATTTATTGATTCTTAATTATTTGATGATTAGCAAGGCAACTGAAAATATTTTCTCCATATTTCTTTTAAGCTTTATACTAAGCCATTATTTTAATGAAGAAAATAATTTGAACGAGTATAGGATATTTTAAATTGTGAGTATATTTCTCTAACAAATTGAAATCATCACTGAACAATTATTACGAAGTATGAGTAAGTTATTATATACACAATACAAGAAACAGTATAACTAACAAAAAATACTGGTTTGAAATATTTATAAAGAAAACAAATATTAGGAATTTTTTTCAAGTGTAATAAATCTAAAGTGAAACGATACTAGTAACGATAAATGTCACACCGTTATACTAGTTTCGTTATTCATCTGTAAAAAACCAGTTATTACAGTGACAACAAACTTTTGAAAGATTTCATTCAATGTGGTATTGAATGAGAGGGTGGCTATAGTTGACTTTCTAACAATATCTTTAAAAAAATGAGTAACCCAAAAACTTTGAAAAGTAAGTAAACATACTATCGCACGGTACGCCTATTTGGTTTACGGACAAGGGACATCATAGGATAAGAAGATAATCTACACGTGTGCTTGATATTCTCATGACAAAGAAAATAAATACTTATATTGTTAGTGTATACGTAACATATTATAAAAGTACATAATCTATAGAATGTATTATAATTGTACTCCTTGTTCTTTGATGTTCGATTAATTATAATGGAATTTGATAATGAAACCAACGACCACTGTTATATTTTTAAATATATAAGAAATGTAAATAATCAATTTATTATTATTAAATTATGTGAAATCATATTGGATTAGTATTTTATTCTATAACCAAAAAATATTGAAGTATTATTAATATTTATATTAAATATCTAAGCCATAAACTTAAACAAATTTTATGAAAAATTTTGTTGAAAATTCAAAATTCGGTATAGTTAATTTGTTAATGTTTAAAAATTAAATTTTTATAGTGTCGCTGACCAGTTCCTAGATTCAATATAGAATCGTTCATAAAATAAAAATAATTTTTAGATCTCTAGTAAAATATTGAATTTCACATCAAAATGATTTTTCTATACACATATTTTCTGCAGGTAGTAAAAGCACACCAAAAGTTTTATTCAAGATTTTATATAAGAGATCGAAAATATAATATAACAAAGTTTCCGAATGCCACTTGTTTGATTTTCGTAATAATATTCCAAAAAACTTTAAAAAAAATGTTAAATTTTACGTAAGCGTATTTTTTACATTAGTTATCTTTATCATTTCTGATTATAACTTTTTTTTTTTAAGTTAGTGTAGTGCAGGATATGAAAATGAAAACTAAAAAGACTAAATTTTTCTTATTTCAATGATCCAAAAAATTTAGTACAAAATCGTGCAAATTTTAATTAGATTAATTCTCAATTTTTTCACAATTCGTTTCAAATTGGAATAATCTAAAAATTATAATAGTTAAAATTATATATACTATTATTTTATAATTTATTTCAATATAAGGAAGCTTTGCTTTTTATTTCCAAAACAAAAAAATTTGATATAAGTCATTCAAAATTATGTTCTGGATATAATTTGAAAATCCGATAAAACATGATATACTTGTAATTATCCTTCTCTAAGATGTTCGTTATATTATTGGTATAAATTTGAAAGCAACTATAAATCGGAGTGTCAAGTTAACGTTAGATTGGTGTACTCTAATATTAGATAAAAAAATGTTTTTGTGTTAACTGCGTTACACAAACTAATCGTCATCGAACAACGTAATACTGAAACGAATATATTTTATAGAATGCTTTCGTAAGTTGGTTAAATAATAACAGAGTATAACTTTTCACTCTCTCCCCTCGATGTTTGAATTGAAAAATAAACATAAAGTTTCGTTTGGTCACGAGTGTCTGGAAAATGTCAGATCATAACTTTATAGCTATCATAAATTTTACATCTGCATAATACTACGAATTATAAAAACGATGTAAAAAATATTAACCGTGGAATCGGTATAGATCACTGTGGCCGGGGTCGACGGATCAGCGAAATTTGTGAAATGCGTGCATGTGAACCGGACGTAATCGGAATATACGTGCGCGTAGAATCGAGATACATTTTTACGACAACGCGACGCCTAACATCGGCTTTAAATACGATTTTCCAGAAAAATCACCGTCTAGTCTTCCGTTCGTCACAGGCGCATGGAGAAAATTGTATTTTGGAAAGCTTAAGTTTGATTCTGTCTTTGAAACGTTTACTGATAGGTTAAACCGCGTATGACATCAAGATGACCAACCGTTTTTCGTTTTTTTTTTTTACTCTCAGTTACCTTTCCGGGCGTTAAAGGAGGGTTCCCGGACCGGAAGGATTTTTGGCGCAGCGTCGGGACACGTGTCACGGATTCGCCCGTTGCGTTCCACTTACCTGCGCAGATGACGGTCAGTATCTGGAACAGGAAGATGACCACGTAGTGGTCGGTACGCTGGCAAAACAGCAGCATGGCCCGTGGTCAGACGATCTATGCGATCGGCCGCGGCGTCATCTTCACGAACGGGAATATCCAGACTGCCACTGGGTGCGGAAAGTGGCCGAGTGTTCCGGCTGTCAGGTTGCGCGAGTCCCGTGACACTAAGAACGTAACGTGCGTAGGGGTCGGTAGACGCGCGGTTACCGTGGATGTCGCGGAAGAGCACGTGGACCGCTCGACGAAGCTTCGGCACGAGAAACGCGCGATGACATACAGCGCCGGCAGCTGATGCACTGTCGGCGGCGGGTGGCGAGACGAGACCGGTGTGCCTTCCTACTCCGGTGGGCGGGGCCTTATACGCATGTGCTTCCCGCACCGCACGCGTGCCGTATGGGTTGCTTGACGTTCCCCCTCACCGTTCCAGTAACCCGTTTCTCCCGCGACCGTCCCACCGCGAAGTTTCGGCAACCGCGAAAGTGTTTTCGCCGTCGTGCACTGGAGACTGGTAACCACGCCATCCGAATCACTGGAACCGCATGATAACGACGTTGCCTCGTAAGATGGACGCGATCTTTTGTGTGCTTGAAAATCGCTTGAAAAGAACATTCGGTGTTGCACCGTTCGAAATCGTGTTCTTTCGAAAAATGAGCAGATCGATCGCATTCGGTTGTAAGTTTCCGTAACGAATATACACCAGTAGCATCTCAAGTGCTTCTCGAAGGTGCAATGATATATTTTAAGGTCCGATCGCGTGTCATCATCTCGAAACCGTTGCAAATAATAGACACGGTTTTCGATTTTATTCTGTCGGCTGCGCATCGAAATCGAACTGTTCTGCAAGAATATTTCACGAGCTATCCCATCTACCCGCACCCGTAACATACATCCGGTCTCCGAGGCGGTGTGGGTTACACCATCCACCGAAGCCGTCGGCCAAATGTTTGATCACGTTGAATATTTCAAAACGTCCACTACGAAATACGGTAGACTCCGATTCAAACAATCGGTTTACGATGACGGATCGCCGATTCGAAAACCAACCGAAACCGCAAACGTTGACCGATAACGGTCGATCCAAATCCATCTTTCGCGTTATTGCTCACCCCGTAGTGTTTAAGGTGTTTACGTGTAGATGCACAACGGCAACTGTAACGTTCGCGATTATCACTGTTGGCGTCGATACCGATTCTACAAATATAGCGGTTGTCGGCAAAGACTTACGTTTTATGTTGTGGACGCTAGTGGAGGAGGATTAAACCACAATTAGAACGTTATACAATTCATGGGTCGGAAACAAGTATATTTTTTTATTTATTTATAGGCGCTAAGCTAAGCAATTCTTAAATTCTAATATACACTTTAAGCGGCTCACTGACCACGTGTGGGGTTAAGCAATAAAAAATAAGAGATTTTATCTGACCTGGTGTTGGCGACAGCACAGCGCTCTATGCGACTCCTTATGGTAACCTATGTGGCGGCGACCTTGCTGGAATGGCAACGGCGGATAGGTCTTCAAGATCTTCAACAATGCAAAAACAAATCGTAATCACAATTGCACGGACGCAGAGAACCGGAGGACGAACGTTGTGGTCGTTTTCACCGGTCGAAGAAAACAAAAAAAGACGCAGCAACCGACGGCCAAGCTTACAGATGACGAACTGGCTTTGGACCGCGGGAGGGGGAAGCATATGACTCGTTTTGCGTTCGAACAACCACGTTCACTCGTTATTTTGGAAGTACCACAGAAAATAAAATGAACCGTGGTCCAGACGAAACCTATACATTCCTCACCTCGTTTGCACTTCAACATATACTCGGATTCCGTTTCTGTTCGTGTTAACGACCTGACGAAGAAACTGATGTCACCTAATGTTTCACCGTGTTGGCGTGAAAAACAACAGAGCGGTTGTGAGCGGGTACACACTGTTTTATCGAAAATAACGTCAGTTGTCCTGTTTAGCTGATCTCTGTCCGTCGATGATTTTTCGAAATCAAAATGTGCTTTAAGGATAACAGGTTCGTAGTCGATTACCATAGTTCACTGTAGTTGTGTACCTGTTGTCGACCACGGTAAAAAATAGAACACCAATGCGGTTGTACTTACCAAGGATAATAATATCAATCGTACACCAAATTACGCAACATTATTCCAGGAAAACAACATGTCATTGGAGCTTATTTAAGATTCGTTAGTTTATCTCTCTCTGTTCGTCGTAATTATAAATAGATAATTTCGTTAATACAATATGCGACCGTGAGAGGGTTTATAGTTTGAAAACCATTGTATTCATGATTATTTTACTGTTTTAATTATTTTATTTCACCATTAAAATATTACACTAGATATGTCAATGACAATTTTTTTTTAATATCACTGCATAAAGAATACACCTTAGGGCTCACTTCATTATGTTTTCAAATACGTAGTACTTAATATACAATAATAAGTAAGTATATAAACGAAATTTGCATGTTAAAAATGGCAAGGTCTGGAATAATCTAATGTACGGTTTCTTCTGTAATTTAAAGTCCGATAATTTCATTCAACAACGTATATCCAATAACTATGGATCGTTCTCGATTCTAAAACCTTTATGGTACTTCCTGGGATCGTACAGAGAATATTTATTACCAAATCAATTTATTTTATTCTCAAAAAATAGCATAATATAAAAATTAAGAAACCCGGATTTCTACACACTGTGTATCTGTATGACACTCTAACAACTACTATTTTCGGTCGTGTTTTTTTTATTTTATTTTATTTTTATTTTTTTTTTAATTAAAAAATTGAACACTCGCCATTTTACACATAATTCGAGCAATGTTTGTGATTTTCCATAGAAAACGAATTTTACATAAAAACCATACGACATGCACAAAACTTTTGTCTGTAATTATATTATGAACATCATGGTAACAAACATTTACAATGGAGTAAAAATATCCTACATATGTTTGGGTTTCGTTTATTTATTCTAATTTAAAACAGTATATAAACCTGTTTTTCGAACCCTAGTTAAAATGGAAAAATTAATACAATTTATACGGTGAATTTTAATTCAACGTTAAATCACATTTATTTAAATAATTTATCCTCGAAGCAAATACAAAACACTCTTACCATACACACACACACACACACACACACACACACACACACATATACACATATTTATTTGAGATTATGAGAGAAGTGAACTTTGTTTATAATCACAAAAGAAATCTATCTCGTGAAAGTGTAATATTAAAAGTGTCTCTAGAAATATTATATTAATTATTTATCAAATACAAGATAACGTTGAAATGTATTTTTAAATTTTCCTGTTCATATAATTGCATGGATATGTTGTTATTAAATTAATAAATGTATTATGTATGAAATTTTACCTGTGTGTTATATTTTTCTACAATGTTGAAAATCTGTTAAATACTAATGTATGCAGCGAAATTTAAATGATTTCGAGGTTTCTATTAGTAATTTTTAAGTGAAACTAACGGACTTCTTAATTAAAGTCTCTAAACAATTATTTAAATAATTGAAGGTGTTCCGACTTAATTTAAATGTTTATTTCCATGACAGCGCAATTTAAATTATTGTTATTGTTTCATATTGTTGTGCTTATAATTAATTATTACACGGGGCATTTGAAATGCTCCAAAAATATTCGTGTTATAAACGATTTCAAGAAACAAGGTAAATATAAAGCATACCCAGGATAATAATTAAAAAGGGTGTACATAATATTAAACTACTAGCTTTATAGAGTTAAAAGTAATATTTTTCTTAAGTTCTGAGGCTGCTGTGCTCTAATCGATTTTTAATAACAGTTATTTCATCTACATCATCATTATTGTCACAGATATTTTTTAATCTTATTCGTGCGACAACGAACATAGACAACAGAGGCTCATTTTATTGTATTCTTATGGATTCCGTATGTCATTGAACGGACCGATCGAGGGTCCGTGTGTTTAAATATTATCTTAAGCGAAGTGTGTTCAATCTTCGTCTTTCTCTGCGTGTTTGCCAAACCCCGGGTGTTGTTCATCACTTCATCAGAGTCATGATAGGCTTCTCCTTGAATGACATATTTATAAAAACATATATATATCTCACATATGATCGTTCTTTATTTGATGTATAGAATTGATTTTTTTTTTAGTTTTTTACAATAGATGATTAAAATCCTGAATAAAAGAGAAATAAAAGTGTGGAAAACTCCAGATTGATGTCTATTCTATATTTTAAATTTCCAATGGGACGAATATTGCGTATAAGTAATAAATTTTTGTTCTTTTAATTTAGTCCTGTGGTTTTTTTAAGTAAAAAAAAAAAAATGCTTCAGGTGCTTGTGGTATGCACAAAATAAAGTTAATAGACCAATTCATTAGTTAGGTACATTAATATGATTATGTAATTAGCATTATGTACGTGTAAGTATGTAAGTAGAAAACACATCGAGTCCATTGCATTCACAGGAATAGGGAGGTTAAAGGGCTAAAAGAAAAAACCATAATATAATTTTTCCGATTTCGCTGAATAAATTTTTTTTTGCATTAAACACCACGTAATATTTTTATGATAAGCAAATAACATCGCGTCATCACACCTCATTACTAAAACTCGCATAAATACGAAGAGAGCTCATAATACTAAACAAAAGATAGCCACACTGCTAGACTAGCTAATCATCTATATAAGACTATTGCTCGTCATGGACTCAATTAAAACCACATCACGGCGAGTACTTAGTAATTACCCATACTAATAACTTTTGCGTTACAGTGGGTTATTTTTATTTGAATTATTGTTTAAAGTGTTAATTAATTACTGTAACTTACGATTACTTTAAAATACAAATGTTATGTTTATTAACCAGGTACTTAATTTTTCACAACTACCTTAAGCCAACCAGGAACAAGCTACGCTATTAAATAATTAATGTGGCAACAATTGCAGTGTCCTGCACAGCGATCACTATACGCTTATCCACGTAGCTCTAAATATGGATTTAATCATAAATGGGGTACTCTGAAAGTCATTGTTAAATTTTACATCCATTTTCAAGTGCTTAGAGGAAAAAAGGGTTAAGAAAATTTTTTACATTTTTTTTATTAGAAATTTTATTTATATTTTTTATTATATATTATATATTAATTTTAATTAATTACTATTCAAGATATAAATAATAATTTTTATATGAATACATTAATAGTTTACAATAAATTTTCAATTTTTATTCCTTTGTTGAAATGTAGTACCAGCTTAAAGGCTCTATCACACAG